ATAAATAAATAAATAAATCTTAAAAGATAAAGAAAAGAGGAGTCAGGACAATGCTTTGTTTCTGTCCTGCCTCAGTGGAAAGAGTGGACCAGCTTAGCTTGACCTGCCCTGCCCAGCCCCACTTGTCTCCCAGCCCCTTTTCCTTGGAGCCTGAGAGTGAATCTTCAGCAGCTCAGCATGAGAGGTAAGTACCATTTGAAAACCACTAGGTTGAAGAATTTCATGGCCCCTTCCAGTTTGGAAATTTTTAAATTCTAAAGAGAAAACTCTCTGTAAATAGGGACATTTCTCTTTCTTTGATTTCTCCTGCAGTTACCTTGGTAAAGCTCTGTACCCAGAGAACATTCAGCAGGTGCTAGTTGACTGTTCACTTTGGCACAGACCTCCCATAATTGAATTTTAGATTAAATTCCTTTTTTAAAATAGGATTCTAATGTAGAGTAAACTTTCCATTGAAATCAATTCACCTTGATAAAGTAGAACCATGGCAAAGATAATCTAAAGTTGTAAAATCCAAAGTAATTTCTATTTGAATTGAGGCAGAGGAAAACATATATTTTTGCTAAACTCATTATCTACATTTAGGCAAGTGTTATTTTAAGGCAAAAGCCAACAGGGAGTGGATCAACTCCATTCAGCATAGGACCCCCCCCCCAAAAAAAGCCACTGAAAATAATTCATAACTGTGAATACAATCTATATTTTAGAATCTTTGTTGAAAACAAATATTAACCCTCTAAAACTTATTTGAAGCTATGACTTCAGGTCATTTTTAGCCCTGTTTTAAAGATAAATGAGATGGAAATGGAGTTGTATTGCTAGTCCAAAACAAAAATCAAAGAAAAGCTAGAACTCAAACTTGCCATCTCCTCGTCCCTCTGTCCTACGGCTTCTCCTTTGCCTGGGCCTTCACTCTTTAGATGTTTTTTAGACATTTCTCCAGGTTAAAAACTCAGAACTTCAATAATTGTAAGAACATTGATCAAACCCTCAGGTGAACACACTATGCCAAACCATTTTGAATAACAAAATGCCGATTACACACGAAGCACGTTTGAACAAATACCCCACATGCACATGGTGCTGCTGGTTACCTGGATGAAAGGCCCATTTCACAGCTCAGGGGGGAGGGCTGGTTAGTCAGTATCTGATCCACTTCTTTTGGTGACGACTCCCCTGTGGTGGGCAGTGTCAGAAAGAGTGACAAATATGTAGTGTGGCAACAAGACCTTTCCTCATTGTTCCCCATATTGGACAGGGCCCAGGGTGTGGCCTAGGATTGGCCAACTGGGGGCTGCTGTCTGGGTTTTGGTATGCAGCCTGAGGCAGGGAGACAGAAGGAAGGTTACACATTCTGGGAGGTGGTCACAGCAGTGGCCTGGTCTGGCTGGTGGTAGCACTTTGTGGCAGTGCTCACCCATCAGACGACTGGCCAAGATGTGCTGCTAAAGAGGATTGTTCTTCTTCCACTAGCCTTTGATTTCAGGTGAATTTTCAAGTCTGCTTCTGCAACTCCTAGCAGTTCTTAGAGCCAGAGACGTTTCTTCAGTGAATTTCAGTGTTGGATGATGTAACCAGAGTTAGTGCAGTTCTTGCAACACTGACCCTGACTGATCTATTAGAGGAAATAAACTCCAAGCTTGCTTAGAGTGGCACTGTTCTGGCTGAAGAGTCAGATTCTGTGCATCTGAGCCTCAGGAAGAATCTTAAAGAAGGATACAAAGAAAAGGAACAATGGATTAGAGATGGTCAGCAGGAATACATATGAACACTTACCTCCAAAATCCAGTCAGTAACACATAAGTGGGCCATGCATAAGTAGGCCTGCTTTGTGTATAGTATGGTGAGCATCATTTTCTCCATTGTTCACTGGAAAAACTGAGGTTCAGAAAGGTCTGTCAAATTTATATTACTAAATTTATATTTATATTCAATATATATATTCAATTTATATATTCAAATTATAGATTCAAATTTAGTGCTAAATCTGTGCCTCCAGAAAAGGAGGCTATAGCTCATTCATTAAGTCATAGTTGGCTCATCAAGATACAGAATCAGTCCATGTTTCTCCACTGCCAATTTTTTGTTAAACCCATCAAGGCCCCAGCACAACCTCATCAATGGGTTTGGCACATACATCATGCATGGTTTACACCTGTGTCCTAAGGTGTGTCATCTGCCTCTGTCCCTTTAGACTGGGGACCCCCAGGGCATAGGGTCATGCCCCCGTGAAGGCTCTCCTTTGTTTATGCATTTATGAAGTTTGCAAGGAGCTGCACCATGGCAGGCCACTGGCCCTAGGGGCAGTTATTGAGTGGCCAACTGAATCATTGTACAGAGAGAAGGAAACTTCTGTTTCCTATAGTATTGACAACCCAAACAGCTTGTACTCATCTTCTACTCAGCTCTGCCTGCCACTACCTCTCTTACAGCAGCAAAAAAAGCCATGCCTTTGTTTATTCGACTATAAAATGGAGCTGAAGAGCCTCCCTGGCAGGATAAATACCAGACGTCTTGGGGACTTTGGAGGGAAAGACCCCTTGCCCACATCTGGTTCACAGTGACCAATGAACTCTTAGTCTTGGTGTTTTGATTCAAGAAAAGAAATCCTGCATATTTCTGACCACCACAGAAAACAGTAATTGAATTTGTGCCATTGTAAGTTTGACTGTTGTTGTATAGATAAAAGTTTCATTAAGTCCCTCATAAGGAGAGAAGAATTTTCTTTTGAGGATAGAGAAGTGAGGGTGGCTTCCTGCTTGTAGTGGTTACAACAACAAAACAGTAAATGGAGGAAATAATTAAATCACAGCACTTTTTGCCCTCAAACCTCGTCAAGAGGCTGGGTATTTTTAATTAGTGTTGCATTTTCAATAAATCCATATCTGTATGTGGTACCGATTCTTTCCTGGATAAGGGAAAGATAATAATGAGAATCCTATTTTTCAATCCCACACTAAAGGGATGCCTAGTATATTTAATCATGCTGTAGAAATCCTGGCAGCTTTCTCTGAGCCCAGCCTCTGCTCTAATTACATTTCTAGATTTTAGTAAATTGAAAGGGAAAATGTAGGAACAAAATAATTAAAACCGAAGAGGAAGTGCATATTAAAAAGGAGAAGCTGTTTAAAATTCTTCTACACGGTGCTTCCAAGGACATCTAGAGCCGTTTAATCAGATCCACACCAAATCAAGGTCCTTTGTGCAGAGGCTGGTGGGATCACATCTCAGGTGGGTGGTGTGGCTGGTAGAATGGGAGCCACAGATAGCGATGGGATTATTACATCCTTCCAGGTCTCTGGGGATGCAGGGCCAGTCTGGACAAGCTGCTGGCACAAACTCACTAGTCCCAAGGAGTTCCTCCTAGGTCCTTGGCAGAATCTGACTAAACCGTGATGATAGCTCCAATTGTGAGGTAGCTGAAGTGTCTTGTCCACGCCATCAGTTTTCTCTTTCTATACCCCTTCCCCACCTCCATAGCACTTCCTACCCTCTCCCTAGTCTTCCCTTTCCTTGTTGTTCTGTGAAATCTGAACAGGAACTGAACAGCCTCAGTGACACACGCAGTTACTTGGAACTGGTTACAAGGATTATCTGTGTGATACTCTGGATTTTCGTAAGGACCTAACTTTGGCTAAAGGAATGAATGTTTGCGGGTATTGATGCTAATGATGAGTAAAATTGGAAATTTTGAGCATTATAGGTGACAAAACCTATAATTTTGTTTTAAGCAGGGCAGGCAGAGTAACCACATCATTGTGAAATTTCCTATCTCCATTTCTTGATTATTTTGGCTGAAATGTGGGTTGGGCAAGTTCTAGAGGTTTGAAGTGCTTTGTTTGTGATTCCCAGGGCATTCTAAGCTGTGGGTTTCTATGGTCTGCTTATGCATGGTCAGGGGTTTCTTCCAAATCCCTGTGGCTTTGCTCATGGGCTCCCAGCCTTCCCTGTTGAACAGACTCACCAGCCACCTGGCGCCAGGATGCATGTGAGAGGAGACAGTGAGCACTGGTCTCCTGGAGACAGTCCCACAGCAGCAGGGCTTCCGGAAGCTGAGTTCCCAAGGCAGGCCTCCCACTGTCACCCACGACCCACTGGTTCATCTGATTGCTCTTTTAGAACCAGTACCTCAGGTGTGCATGTGTGTGTGTGTCTCTGTAATGATACTGTCTCAGTATGGACAAGAGACAATGCCTACTTCTGATTATTTGACTTGATTCAGTAAGAATAATTTTTTAAAGTTTAAGCTGAAAGAAAAAATGACAGAATCGTAGCAATAACAAACATCCCATCACTGACGTTATTACTCTGGCTTGGAGATTTCTCTTGTCTCTCAGGGCCGAAATATTCTGAGATACTTTTCTTTTCCTCAACCTAGAGGTGGCAAGTCCTGCCAGGGCAATTGCGGGGGCGGGGAGGTGAGGCCAGCTGGGGACTCAGGTATTCAACACAACAAGCAATCACTGAATCAGCTTCCTCCCATTTTAGGCCGCCTCTGCTGGTCTTACCCCAAAAGAATGGCCCTTCTCATTTTTGTTTCAAAATGCTAAATTTTGGAAGTGACTTAATGTCTAGCATTATCATAAAGTCAGAGTATTGACAGTTGGTTAGAAAAACAGGAGGCAATGCATGTAAAAATCGTTGACAAGCCTACACTGTTGCAAATATAAACTACAGGTAATTATCTTTATTTTAATGTGACAGCCCCCTGCCTTGGTGGTCGTCTATTTGGTCTTCGCACCTCTGTGCAGCCTGGCCCGCTCCGCACGCCCCCCACTCCGAGTTCCCGCCTCTTTCTTCTCAGGCCCCTCCTTCCCAGCAAATCCCCAACTCAGAGGAGAGGCCGGAACGCATGCGCACTAGGGGAGCTAGGCGGAGTCTTAAGGAAGAGGAAGGCGGGGCATAAGAACCCAGAGATGGGAGGGGAGAAGAGGGGGCGGAAGCAGCGCGGGGTGGGGCCCGGCGGGTACGCGCTCGTTGCGTCGGCGTGCTGACGCCATGACGCTCCGGCCGGTGTGTGTCGGTGTGTGTGTGTGTGAGTGTGCGCGCTCCGAGTGTGTATTTGTGTATCGGCGGTCCCGCAGGTCCCGGATGTTGCGGACAGTATGAGGCGAGCGCAGGGGGACGGGGACCAGCAGCTGTCGCCGCCGCTCTCAGGTGAGTGGGGGGAGGAGAGTCGAGGGAGAGGGTTGTCCTGTCGGAGTGTGTGGGGGGGCGCCTCCCTCAAGAGGTGACTGACCCCCCACTCCCCCCCACACACATATACTCTTCTCTGCCCCATTTCCCACATTCTGGGTTACGTGGCCTGAGAATGCCAGCGCCTAATCAACCGTTCCCTCACCCAACCCCAAGCATTCAGGAGACACAAACGCACCCCCTGCCTTCAGCGCACCCCCCATCATTTGCCAACCCCATCCCCCTTGCCAAATAGTGAGCTGTCGCCTGCGGCGAGAGGGGTGACTGCGCATGCGCGAGTGTGAACGAGCTCGGGGTGCTTGCTCGCTGCCCTTGGGGCGCATGCGCATCGCCGTGTTGCAGGGACCTGCGGGATAAAGAGCCCCTTGACCACGCGCCTGCTTTCTATCCAAGCAGTGAGCTAGATTTACTGCCAGATTGTGAGCCTCTTCCTCCTGTCCAAAAGGGAGAATTTAAATTATATGAGGGACTTGCTGACAAAGCCCTATTCGCATCTGGTGTTGCCTTAGAGACTCCCAGGGTACTAGCGCCTCCCAGAGCCGAAGTGCCCCACGCTGACCCTTCTTTTGAAACTGTCACTGCAACTTAACAGTTCCAGCATTTCTTCTCTTTTCTCAGCTTCTTGCTGTGCCTTCAATATAGACCTCCACTAAATTTTGAATTTCGTGCCCCAACCCATTCAATTATTCTGCCTGGGATTTTGGTACACTTTCTAAGGGGGACTAAGGGTCAATAAGAAGAAAGTAAGTGGGGAGGGGGGTGTCATTTTTTTTTTATTAAACTTCTTAGTTTCTTCATAGACAAGGTAAAGAGCACACACTATAAAGGACTAAGAATAGTAACCGTAAATTAAGACTTGAAGGTCTGTCTTCTACTTTTGTGTGACCTATTTGCCTCCTTTTTTTGGTAAAAGATCTTCCTTAGTGCTTTCGTTTTAGCTGTACCTTATTAATGCTCTGTGAACACCACATGAAAACAAAAGCAATCTGAAACTCCCAGTCGATGATAACTTGCCCAGTGTAGTTCTTAATTCGAGAGTGATACTTCTTTCAGACCAAAAATTTTAAATAAAGAACTTTAAGGTATTTCAGTGATCTAGGACTGGATTTTAAATTGACATGCCCCTTTAATTTGTTCCTATGTTGCTACTCTTTTGGCTACTTCGCTACTTCTTACCTTTGCCATAAAAACAGGGCAAGAAAATGATAAAATCTCTTACAGGCAAAGCTTTGTTGAAGAGCACTGAAGTTAATGGCCAAATTGTGGGGGGGGGGGAGGGGTTACCTTTTGTGTTTTTCTGTTATCTTAGTTGGGAATGGGATATATCAGCAAGTCTAATTTTCTCTTTGCGGTTTTTCTTTGGTATTCTTTCGCGGTGTTTTTGGCGACCATGCTTAACACTAGGATATTACGTACTTGGGGTTTAAAAAATACATTATTTTTTTCACTTCCCCATTTAACCCTAGCTTTTGCAAGATACAGCTGTCTTTTGTGCTGTTTTCTGTTATTGTGGTTACATTGGAACCAAGAGATGACACAGGAAGTAAAGGAATTTGGGGGGGCATACATCATCTTGTGTCTTGGGAAAAGAGCAGGACACTCATCTTTTTTTCCTTATGCGAAAAGTTGAGAGTTCAAGTTATTGTGACAATCCCACATTTAAAGTGGGGGTGGCTGGTGCCCATCTGGTCTTTTGGTGACTTCTCCTTTCAGAGCAATTTATAGTGGTTCTTTGGTACGTGGAGATGTGTAATGTTGCCTGTGTCTCAATTCCCTCAGTTTCTTGTAAAATCTTGAAGTAAAACTATTGAGGTAATATGTCCATTTTTCATCTTAGTAGGTTCCTGTTATCTAGGATGCTTTGTTTTTAATCTTGAAACCTTTTATCTGATTGAATTTAGTGAAGCCTCATTTGAAAATTTTATGGTACAAAGCCATGTCTTTAGGATTAAGATGAATATCATTAATTCATTTTGGTGCAGTGTCATGGGTAAATAAAACTCTTTAAAATGGGTAGTTTTAATGTCTCTTTATATATATACAATACATATATATGAACATAATTTAAAAGGTACACAGTAAAAAATCACCTGCTTTCCTCCTTTCATCCTAACCAACCAAAAGGAAATTTATTACCAGTATGTCCTTTATTTTTATAAGCATATAGGACTATATATATGTTGGTGTTTTGTTTTGTTGTTTTACATAAATGGCAAGCACTATACCCGTTATAGTGCTTTTTCAATTAGAATATCTTGACCATCATCCACACAGTACATCTTTTTGAAAGGTGGTAGGTGTTCCATTGCATAGATGTACAGTTAGCCAATGCTTAATTATTACTTAGGTTGTTTACAGTGCTACAATTAAGTCCTTATAGGTACATTTTTGTACAGAGGTGTCTGGCAGATAAATTCCTAGTGGAAGTGCCACGTCAGAGGATATACGTATTTTTAGTATTAGGTAGTTGCTAAATCGCTTTCCATAGAGTTGTACAAGTTTATATTCCTGTTGGTCCTGAATGAATCTGCCTGTTCCCTCACCAAGATTGTATTATCAAAAATTTTGATCTTTGTGCAGTCTTCTAAGATTTTAAATTTCATTATATAACTTGTTAAGCTTCATTACATCCAGGAGTTGTGGATAAATATCGTGCTGTTTTATAGATGGGGTAGTGGTAGAAGATAGTGTTTGACTGAAGAATAATGTCTTGAGAATAAAGCATATGCTTGGGTAACAGTGAATCCATGACAATGCTAGGAAGACCTGTAAGCAACACATTCTAATTTCCTTTAATTCTTCGATGCCAGTTTCTCTGTGTGCAGTTCTACAAGCCCATAATTGATATTTTATGATCTTTTGATAGCTGTGACTCAAAATTGTTTATACAAGTGCGCGTCTGTTAAGTGATTGAAAATCTAACCCACTTAGTTAAGGTGCTTTTCTGCATGCCTACACGGTACTGGTATTTTTTAAAAAGATTTATTTATTTATACATACAGAATTGGGGTACAAGTCAGAGGTGCAGGGGCGGTGAGAGGATTCACCAGAGACAGAGTGGGGAGCAGAACAGGCAGATCGATGAAGTACACTGCTGAGGGGAGCAGCGGGTGGGGTAGGGGATCTAGGGGCACCAGGTCAGGAGAGGTCTGTTGCGCCCTGTGGGTCATCTCTGGGGCTGGGGATTGAACCTGTACTGAAGCATCTGTAGCTAGCTTGCAGTGCTTCATCCTACATGATGCACCACCAGGAAGGGCCGGTATTAGTATTTTTTTAAAAAGTCTTGTATATTGTGGAATGCACTATGATCTGTGAAGAAATAGAAAGAATTATAAGATGTCTGTGCTTAAACGGGCTTATAATCATATGGAATATTATGTCTTCTGTTGAACATATAAGTAGAAAACAGAACAGTAACAGAATACTGTGCTCCATGCTGAGGTAAGGTGTGAATAAAGTTTTGAGGAGAGTTCATTTGGGAGATTAACTTGGAGGAAGTATGTTTTGAGTCTTTTTTTTTTTTAAAGGTTTTTTATTTATTTATTTATGCATACAGAAATGGGGTACAGCCAGAGGTGCAGGGACCAGAGTCTTTTTAAAATTTTTTTTTTAAAGATTTATTTATTGGCCCTCCCTGGTGGCGCAGCGGGTTAAAGCACTGCACTGAGAAGCTAAAGCCACTTCTGCATGAGTTTGATTCCCGCCTGCCCCGGAGGTGACCACTTGGCGTGACAGACCTCTCCTGGCCCGCCCGCTGCTCCCCTCAGCAGTGTACTTCGTCGATCTGCCTGTTCTACTCCCCACTCTGTCTCTGGTGAAGCCTCTCACCACCCCTGAGCCTCTAGCCTGTACCCCAGTTCTGTATGTACAAATAAAATAAATCTTTAAAAAAAAAAGGATTTATTTATTTATTCATACAGAACTTGGGTACAGGGTAGGTGTGCAGGGGCGGTTGAGAAGATTCACCAGAGACCCAGTGGGGAGCAGAACAGGCAGACTGACGAAGTACACTGCTGAGGGGAGCAGCAGGCGGGCCGGTCAGGAGAGGTCTGCTGCGCCTGTGGGTCACATGTGGGGTGGGGACTGAACTCATGCTGATGTGGCTTTAGCTTCTTAGGGTCACCTGCGGGGTGGGGACTGAACTCATGTTGATGTGGCTTTAGGTTCTTAGTGCTGTGCTTTAACTTGCCGTGCCACCAGGGAAGGCCCGGAGTCTTTTTTTTAACAGCTGTTTTAAATGAAATTTTTTTTAATGTACAGAAAATTTGAAAGAGTACTGTAATTTTATCACCCTTATATACAGTTTCTTCCGAGATTCAATTGTTTACATTTTGTTATATTTGCATGTGCTTATATATAAAGAATATATCACAGTCATCATGACACTTTAAAAAAATTTAAAATTTATTTAAATTTATAACTGGGGTGTATGCCAGATGTGTGGGGTCGGGGTGGAAGTGGGGGGGTGGTGTTAGATGATTCACCAGAGACAGAGTGGGAAGCAGAACAGGAGGATTTGCTGAAATACACTGCTAAAGGGAGCAGTGGGAGAGACAGGAGAGGTCTGCTGCGCCATATGTGGTCAACTCCTTGACTGGAAAATTGAGCTCAGACCATAGGGATAGACCGGTCATGACACTTTAATACTTCAAATATATCTTTAAACCATATAGTGTCTGTATTTTACTTAATTGTTCTTAGAATGCATTGTCCCAGTGGAGTAATTGACAATGATTTTCTAATACCATTTATTATCCAGTTCAGGTTTTCTCACTTGTCTTGAAGATGTTGATAATTCTTTTCTCCAAAGGTCCTTTTTTTTTTAGTCTCTTTTTAAACCTAAAAAATTTAGGAGCCACATGATACTGCCTTTTTGAAGAGGCCATTTGTCTTACTGAAAATAACACTAAACGAATTTTGTGGTGGTTTTCCTATAATTTCATTTTAATTTGTTCTTTTAT